CTCTGCCCTTGACTGTCTGCTCTGGAGATGTGCTGGGTATGGGAGGCTGTGCAAAGGAGGTGTGTGGGGAGAGAAATGACTTGACCCACAGCACAGAGCCAGGGCTGCCCTTCCCGGCGAGGGCAGGAGGCTGCGTGTTCCTGTGCCCCAGGCTGGCGTCTGGGGAGGGAGCTGAAAGGTAAGATCATCGGGGTAATTCCAGAAGCAGCAACCTGTTTTGCTTGGATCTGGGTTCAAACGGCAAACTGCACTCCCGAGTGTCCCAAAGCCCGGGCTTGTTTGGTTTCTCTGCTGGTTATAAACAGAACTGCTGTTTACAGCACTCGTCTCTTGATCCTGGCGTGGATTTCAAACACCCTCAGCCTTTGGGGCTCTTCCAAGCACTGCCGCTACCAGGCACAAGTGTGTGGCTGCTGCGGGAAGTGGCTGGGCCCCCGGCTGAGCATCCTGCAGCAGGCAGCGGCAGCTGGGGCTCAGCCTGGCTTTGCTGGCATCCTCTGCCCTGCGCCTCACGTCCCTGCACCCGGAGGGAGGAGTAGGACCAGCTCCCTTTGGTGCTGCATCCAGAGGCCTGTGGGTGCAAAGGGTTAACTGCAGTGGTTTTTCTCCCCAGTCCAAGCACATGCTGAAGCAAATTAATCTCTGGGTTACAGGCTGTCCTGCTCCAGGGCCCACGTCAATCATTAATGGAGGGTGATGAAGACGTGTGTGACATCCATCATTCTAGAGCTGGCTGTTCCAGGTTTACCTGTGTCACTCTCTAAGACAGAGGAGCAGAGAAACTGCCTAAGGAAAACCGGCATTTTTTGTTAAGGAGTTTTGAAAAATGCTGCAAAACATCTTCTCAGTATCTCTGTCCCTTGAAACACAATCTGAAACGTTTCCAGCTTTTGAAAAAACACTTTCCTTAAATAAAAAAAACCCTCCCCCAATGAGGCAAACAAACAAACCAAAAATAAATTCTCTAAAACTTTACATTTGGATTAAAATATGTATATTCATATGTGCAGATATATGATATACACACACACATATACATGAAAGCAAGGTTTTTCAAGGGCTTTGAGGCTGAGGTGGCGGGCCAGTGGCCATCCCTGCCTGCGGTGCTGGATCTGCCCGGTGAACATCCATGGCCAGGGAAGGCAAAGGGGAAGACGCAGAGGCTGGGGCTGGACAGGGGCCAGCTGTTTGCTCGGGGACCATTTGGGGCTGGAGGGGCCTGAGCCCAGCCAGCCTGTCCACTGCCATGGGAAGGCCCCCAGTACCTGCTGGGGCACTGCGGGCAATGAGCAGTGGCAGCAGGCAGCCCTGGGATGGCACGGGGCGGGGATAGGAGGGAGAGCCTCTGGTGCCTACCACCTTGCCCCCGCCCTGGCCGCTGCCAGCATGCAGCAAGTAAATAACACAATTAATAAAAGATTAGGATGAAATGTGAGGCATTAAATATTTAACCTTGTGCCTGCCTGTGCAGTGCCCAGGTACAGCTGGTTCCTGCAATATTTAAGGGCTGTTCCTCACTCTCCCTTTACCACCCCCAAATGTGGCGACTTTACGGCTGGCTGCAGCTGGAGGGCCGTGGGGGATGAGGAGGGATCATGGGGGACAGGAAAGGGCCCCTCAGTGCGGCAGGAGGGGCTCTTGGGGCACCGTGCTTGGCTGCAGACCAGCGGGGCTGGAGCAGGCCGGGAGAGCTGCCCCGCTGGGCTGGGGGCCCGTGCCCAGAGCTGCCCCCGCACCCCGGCCATGGCCTGGCCGTGGGCTCGGGCTGGCGGGGGCTCGCTGGGCTCAGCCGGGCGGCCGGGGAGGGAAAGCGGCTCGTGGCTTTGAGGGGGGGCATGGTCC